CGCCTACTTTGTTAACTACTCAACAAATCAAATCACTGACGTTTAATAAATTCTCCGCTTGTTCCTTGATCCCTTTTTCGACTTCTGTCTTAGGAGAAAGAATAAAAGAGGGGGTATCGATTAACTTGTAAATATTATCTCCTATTTTAATTATACTTTCTGTATAGTTAATTAACGGACTTGGCTTAATTTCTCCTTTTATCTTAAGAGGAGAGTAATTTTTGACTAACTGCCGAAAAAGAGTGGTTTTTCCTACTTCTTTATTTCCAATTATAGTGATTTTCTTCATGCAGGAAAAATATTTTTTCTTTGTTACTCTATGGTTTGTTGATTTATTTTTAGAAGTTGAAATAAGTACCAAAAAATTATCTACCTTTTAAATAATTTTACTCCGAGAAGTAATTTTAACTAATAATTCAAGCCCGAACTTCAACTATTAGGGGAAATAAGAATGCATTCCTTAGTTTAGTTTTTCTCTCCTTTTCTTTACCGACAAATTTTTCTATAATTTGTATTTAGTAGTGTTTATATCATTTTATATCATAATATTTATAAGCAACCTTAAATATCATTAAAAATCCTAGAAAGAAGCAAAATAAAACAAAAAGATAAATTAAAAAACTAGTAAGGAACTTTCTAGGCTTAAATTTGAGATAATAAAGAGAAGGAAAGAACCTTACTGAAAAAAGAACTCCTAATATAGAAAGCACAAAAAGAAACTTCATCGTTAACGAAGTTCTTCCTCCTTGCCTTCCTTCACGTGCCTCTTTTAGCACTAATAAAATAACCTCTGAACCAAGTTTTAATCAGACGAGGAGGAACATAAGGGAGAAAAGGATAAGTCCGAGCAGACTTTTCAATAGAACTCCCAATGTTTTCCTCTTTTTCATCAACTTGTCTTTAATTATTACTATGATTTACACTTTTTACAATCAAGGTCATAACTTATTCCCTTATTAAGATGTGTAAGGTGGATGATTAGTTCAAGATAGGACACTGTGTCTTCAGCATTACCAAATTGCTCATAACATTCACTAGCAGAATTAAGGAAATTACTTACTCCACTACTTGAATGAGAAGCAAATTCACCTATTACGTTTCCTACTCCTTCCTCCATCAACTCTCCACCTAATTCGCCCATTCATTTTACAAACTCTCCTTTTTCTTTACTAGTTGCTTTAGACTCCTCAAGAAGGTCTTTCAACTTAGGATCACGACTAAGCATCTCTATGGTCATCTTTCAAGATGCATCTCATCCTTCGCTTGCAAATTTAAGACCTGCCCCTATCGGTAAGGCAGCTGGACCAAGAAGCGAACCAGCCGTTTTGCTTACAACTTTTTTCCCTACATGCTTTGCTATTTCTTCCGATGATTGGTTATTTCCTGGTCCATAACTCCTATTTATTCTAATATCACTATAACTATCAAACTCATCTCTATAATTATCAACTATCTCCTTATTCTCATCATAACTTTTCATAAACTCTTCCAAAGAGGGAACTTTATATTCATTTTTTACCTCTTGAACTAATTCAAAAGGTTTTTTATCTATATATTGATTTATATTGTTATTACCTGTCATTTCATTATTTAAATATTTATTTGTTGTATTTTTTTATGTTTTGTTTGCTAACTTTTATAGAGTTAGCCAACTGTTTTTTAAAGTTTATCAAATTAGTAAGTAATTTAACTTACTTATATTGTTATTATTGTTATCATATATTTTTTTAGTTTTCTAAATTTTTATATCCTTGGGCTTATTTTCGCCCGACAGGATGTTCTCAGATATAAAGAATTAGTTTCTTTTGGATGTTTAGCATGATGCTTCATATACTTTTTTTATTCTTTTGTTCTTTATTATTAATTTTATATAACTTTAATTCTCTTTGGTGGGATGAATGAGAATTGAAAAAGGTTTTTAGCAAAAATTAAAAATAAAATTTTGTTCTAAACAGTCTAAAAACCTCGCTATCACTTAATATTTACCATGTTTTTTAAACTGTAATTTTTTTGAGTAAGGGTTGCGATAGTAAACTTTGACAAAACATTTTTTAATTTGTGTTTCTCCCAGAAATTAATCTGGTCAATCTTTCTTTGAAAAGAAGAATTGAGAATACATAAATCCTGAATAATCAAATCGTTTTTGATTAAGAAAGAATAGTTGTGAAGCCCTCTATTCAGACTAAGGGTTAAGCAAGTAGACACTAGTTGAAATAATTAATCTTTGATTATTAATAATACTAGCGTTCTAACTTTCAGTTTTATTCTGGGTATTTTTGTTCGGTTGGAAAATTCGATTACCTGTGGAGTCGAAAAAGCGAACCAATGAAATTTTTTTGCTGAATTTATTCTGGGACTGACATTTATTGTAGGGAACCGACAAGCCCGGCGAGTGCTAAGGGTGTAAGGAGAGTAAATTGTTTTAAGGTAGAAAAAAAGAGTTGGTTCAATTTTACACGACTTGAATCTGAGCTGATGTATCCCTCGAAAAAATAAAGGGAAAAAGGCAGGATGTATAACAAAAAAAAGAGGGAATAGTTAATAGAAAGCTCGTAAATTTCTTGGCTCAAACTTCCAATAATTAAGAAAGTAAATGACCATTAATATTTTGGCTTTAGAAATTAACAAAGTGGTTTAGATTATTCGCTTTCGCTTTAAACTTGAACGAAACAAAATATCTTCAGCAGTTGAGTTTTTTTTAGGAAAAATTTTCAACAGAGTTTTTGACTTTTGTTTTGTCTTTTTGAAAGCAAATAGTGGTATTCTAGTTATTTTTTTTGATTTCGAAGAAAACTAGGGTGGGGTGAAGTAAAGTAAACTTTACACATAATTCCCCGCCAAATCTAAACCGAGGGGAATTAGAGAGAAAGTTTACCATTTAGGAGTAAGAATTAGCAGACACTGATGCATACTTAAGTAGTATAACAATTAGAGTCTCATATCCCTTTTTCCTAAAAAGGTTTTTTCTCCTTTTCTCCTTATATAATAATATTTTAGATTAGAAGATAATGGAAGGCAAAAAAGATTGGGCTAAAGTATTTAAGAGAATTAAGTTTGCTAAGATAAGTCCCTGAGGATTATTAAATGGAATGGAAACCTGAATGTATTATCCGGGTGAAATTCCAGGTATTGATTCTGAACTTCCCGAAGCAGATTATTTTCACTTAGACACCGACTTGTTATTTAAGTTTCTTAAACAGCATGTTCTTACTGAACCTAACCAAATTTGCTTTCCTCGAACTTGTTGAAAACTTTATCGATTATTGAAATAATATGCAATGTAAAGAATGCAAAAGAACCTTTCCCCTTTCCCAAATGGTAGAAAAAAGTTGATACAAAATTGTTCCGAGTGGCAAAACTATTGAAATGAAAGGTTGGAGATGCTTTTTTTGTGCTTAATAAGAATAGAATAATAAAAATAAAAATGACAGAAAATAAAGAAACATTATTAAACGAAATATTAGAGTGAGCAAATAGCAATGAGACAAAAAGTCAAAGCGTAAATGATTTAGCTTATTATCTTTTTAAAATCAATGAAGCTAAGCA